GCGAAGTAACCGTTTCGTTTTGCGTCTCTTCGTTCTCAGACTCGATACTTGTTATTGTATTTCGATCCTGTATATGAGGCAGTAACAAATTCAAGCTCTCTTCATATTTATATTTTTTTATTGCCACAGCACCCTGTCCACTCTTGGTTTTACGTTTGTTTCTATGTTTTTTGAACTGGTCCCGTATGTTTGCCCACCTTTTTTTACATACATCATCTGCAAAAAGATAGTATAGAATGAACAAGTTAAGTAATTTTCTTTACAACCTGTATAAATGGTACTGTTAATACGTAATAGCTCACTGTAGTACAGATACCGCGAAATTATACCATTATTATTTTTTCAGGTTCCTGGCTACTGGGGATTCGTTTAAAACTATTTCGTACAGTTTTCGATTGGGGCATTCAACTGTGACCGAAATTGTACATAGCACATGTCGATCTATCGTTAAAATATTTAAGAAAGACGTTATACCAGAACCAACAGAAGAAATGTGGCGTAAAATTGCCGAAGATTTTGAAAAGCTTAGAGGTTTTCCAAATTGTATAGGCGCATTGGATGGAAAACATTTTGTTATTGAAGACCCAGCCAATAGTGGTTCTATATATTTTAATTATAAACACACATTCTCAATTGTTTTATTGGCGTTAGTGGACGCATGCTACAAATTTATTGCAGTTGATGTTGGCGCTTACGGACGAAACAGTGATGGTGGCATTTTTGCAAAATGTAATCTTGGAAAACGTTTAGAAAATGGGACGCTTCATGTACCTATTGGTAAAAATTTACCCGGTTCCTCTACGTTTGCACCATATGTAATAGTTGGTGATGAAGCGTTTCCTTTGAAAACATACCTAATGCGACCATATCCAGGACACCAAGCAACAGGTGACGCTAATAAAACGAATTTCAATCATAGACTGTCTTTGGCCCGGCGACTAGTCGAAAATGCCTTTGGTATTTTGACACAAAGATTTAGAATATTTCAAAGAAGAATGAAACTTGCTCCAGAAAATGTTGATTACATTATTCTATCTACATGCGTACTGCATAATTTTTTATGCGAACAAAAAGATTACACAGGGCTTATCAATCATAGTGCACAAAATGCGCAACCACATTTATTAAATCCATTGAGCGTTCAACCAGGAAGACCGGCTAATGATGCATTTGCGGTAAGAGAAACGTTTAAAGAATATTTAGCGTCAACAGCGGGACGTAATTTTATAGGACAACAGTATCAAGAATAAATACATACTTACACTATAATATACTTCTTATAATTTACCTAACATATTCTAAAATACCTACTAAAAACCGATAATCCCACTCACATGTACTTACATGTTGTCGTAAAGTAATTAGTGACACTTGAATAACTATTATAAATGTAAATTGAAATAAAAGTGTTTTATTTCGTCCGAAATGGTTTTCCAAATAATATTTTTGTATTGTTATCTAAATACTTAGGATGGCTCATATCGTAAATTACAGGGTACTTGCGCACACATTCTAATAATTTTTCATCGTCCATTTTGCTGTTGAGCTGCTCACTTCACTAAGATTTGACGTTGACTGCTCTCCGGGCGCCCGGGCGCATATGTTCATGTTACAACGTGTCGGGGCCGGACCGTGCCGGAGCCGGGAAACAATACCCACCGACATTTCAACGCCGTGCCCCGGCCGAGTCCCGGCGGCGTACGGCCGGGCCACGGTCAGGCATGAATCGCTTCATACAAAAAGTACACCATAATGTTTGACCGTGCCCCGGCCGCGCCACGTTGTAGCGTGAATCATCCTTAAAGCATCACTATTGCACGTTACTAGTTTGCAATATATTATTGATAAGCAGAAGAAACGGCGTAGGTGATAGCACGTAGCCTTGTGGAACACCAGCATAAATTGGCTTATATAAATGGAGTATGCACCTTCTACTACGACTTTGATGCTCCAATCTGCAAGAAAACTGTTGATCCAGGTGCACAAATTCTCGTGAAGCCCATAGGAAGGGAGCTTCGAAAGGAGCGCTTTGTGCGAACTCGATCGAAGGCCTTCGCTGTGTTCAAACTAACGGCCAGGGTCTCCCTCTCTGCCTCCGCCGATTTATGAGGCAAATAAGCCAGAATATCATCAGCTGAGCAACCCCGACGGAAATCGTACTGGCGGTTACTTTTCAGTAGGTGATTCTCAACCTCAAGAGCTGGCAGTTCACAATGGTTTTCATTATTTTGAAGAACAAATTCTCAAGGTCCGAGTGGTCGACATTCGGTTATTTTTTAGGGATCTGGTGCACTAAAACTGTCTTCTTTGAGTTCGCGACTACGTCTAGGGAGAAATAGTTTTGGAAAAGATAGGTAAAGACCGTTGCCAATTATGGAGCACACGACTTCAGCACAATGGGAGGAACTCTATCAGGCCCATTCGACTTGACGTCTAGAGAGAGTAGTGCTATGCGCACCGAGTGCTGTGTAAACTGTATCATACCAACCTGAGAGCGAAATTATACTTCTTTTTAACAGTGCTGGTGAAGCACTCCTATTATAGCACGATGCAATTTTACAGGAGCGACCAAACCAGGCACCACGGATGATAGAATAAAGAGTTCCATCCCCTAAAGTAACACATCAGAATAGCAAGCAAGACGAGTAGCAAGCCTGCCCCTGTTCTCAAGGGAAGGATGTAAAAAAGACTGCATCGTAGCTTGGGCCTGGAAGTTCAGCCAGGGATTCTCCAATACCAGCGGTGCTGGTACCCTCCTGGGAATGTTTCTTATTTCATTAAAGTACCATGTTAAGGGGAAGAGGCGTTAGGCCTCCGACCACCTGCACTTAACAGGCGAAGTAAACTTCTACTACTTCACGCTGGTTAACTGTAAGGTCGTGGGTCTCCTTGGTTCGAGCCGGTCCATCCATTCATTACATGTCTTACCAGCTCGTCACTCCTCTAGTCTGGCTCACCCGTGCGACAGTAAAAGCTGCCGTGTGGCTCTTCCACAGTTATGTTGTCTGCCTATATTATTTATATCGATTTTCTTTCTGACCCATCATCAACGGTATCGTTAGTACTATCGTCTGTCTTCGTTTTCGGGAGCGTTTCACTAACACCCGGTATACAAGAAACCTAAAGGCGATTAGGAGAGATAGGTTAAGGAGTAATGGATTTTCTCACGCCATTACTTCATTGTTTGTCTTTACATGAGTCTTAAATCAAAAAATAAGAGTCCTTGCTACATTTTAAGAAGACTTTTTTGAAGGTTTTTTTATGATTATGTTTTTGTAACGATGAGCTTAATTATTTATTATTAATAACAGACGTATAAATGAAATATGATATATTTTTAAAACAATTTATTTATAGTTGAATATTACAAATGACCAATATTTAAAGGTAAGTTTTAAAGCCGGTACACGCAAACTTTTTATGAAAAAATCTGCAAATTCACGCCAAATTAAAAATAACTTGTTTTTAAAAGTAAAATATATGATTTATTTTATTATTATTTTGTAGACTAGGGCTAGCCGCGTGAAGTTTAAATTTGATTTGTACACATGTACCCTTTAGAATGTTCGAATAATTTATTTGATGTTATAAATAAATTTTTATCATGGTTTCGCCTTATTCTAAGAGATTCCAAAATGTTGTATATTTTTAAATAAGAAAAAGGTAGGTACAACATACCCTTGCTGGATTAATAGTAGGTCACGTAAATGTTATAGTTGATTTTTATATAAATTCTTTTATAATTTCATGCGTTAAGTTTCATATAGGCTTTTTAATGAGATTATAACCTGAGAACAGTATATTTTTTGCGAGAGTAATTCGTCATTATTAGGGTACTTTAAATGAAATAATGTAAATGCTAAACAATATACAAGTATATATTATAGCAACATATTAAAGTTAAAATTATTTTATTTTAATATACTATAATTTAAAAGTAAAATAGGGATAATTCAACTCATTTTTATGTCTTTGGATAAACTATGTACAGAAAATTTATGATGAAATTTTGTAAGTACATTTTGGTATTTGGAAGCACAGGCAGGGTACAAATATTATGTATTATGTAATTGTTTATATTTAAGAGATAAAAACCGAAAATTATATTTATATTAAAATTCCATTAAAAATATAAACTTAAGCAAGTTAGCCTTTATCCTCGTCCTTTACCTGTTTTAATTAGATTAAACATAGATGTGACATTGGTGCATCAACACCTTTTGATGATTAAATTGGACCACATTTTGCTAATTAAAAATGATATTTCATATATAACTACTTATTCAATAATATAAATTAGAATTTTATAATAAAATCTAATAAAAGAAAGATATCAATGCGCAAGTCACACGACGGATTTATAGTTTCTGCCATCATTTATAAAGAGGTCAAGGTTCGAGGCTGGTGAACGCTATTAACGTTACATATTTCTCACAACTACGAATAGAATAAATAACGTTGTATTGATATTTTGCAAATGGAATGTATGCAGATGGCAACAAGACCCAATCTTTAGGGGTTTAATTTTAAATTTAATTAATTATATATGGGTTTTTATACTAAATTACAAAATGTAATTTAAGTAATAACGATTGATAAAAATTATTGAATTTAATTTTAAGGACCGTGCGTAATGTTATATATTATGGTATTTGTAACGGTTTAAAAAGTAACGTAGGAACTAGCAAAATATCTTTCATGTATCTTACAAGAGTATGGTCAATGTTAAGTTTTTATATTTCTATAAATAGAAATCTACATACATAGTTAAAATGCATTTATCGACATACACATTCGGCACTCACATCGCACAACCTTACCAATTTAAAGATAATTACATTATAATAACATCCATATTATCATACTTCATAACATGCGAATCTATAATAATCATAGAATATGATACAATTGTAATTTGGAAACCTTACAGCTAGCAAAGGGGGATACAAAAATTCGTTTTAATAATACTCGCATATAGACAACGCATGTCACGGGGCGACTCAGCACGTGGTCTCGAGGAGGGGATCGGCGGGCTTAGGACGCTCCTCCGTGGAAGAGCATATGGCCTGCGAGGCGGACTTGTAGAGGCGGCGCGGGCGCGTCTCGTCGTCGGAGTGTGCGCGGGCGGGGTGCGCGGGGTGCGGGGGGCGCGGCGCCAGGCGCGCAGCGCGCGGCGAGCAGGTGCAGCGCGCGCGCCAGCAGTCGCAGGCGGAGCGGCCGCACGCCTCGCACACGGGCGCCGCGCGCTCCAGCCGGCCGCGCGCGCGCCGCCGCGCCGCCTCGCCGGGCCGCAGGCTCGCGCTCTTCACCCACGGGTCGGCGCGCGCCCGCCCCGCGCTCTTCAGGTCCACCTCGCTCATCTTGCGCCACGGGTCGCCGCCGCTGCCCACGGGCCGCGACTCGCGCAGCGACGCGTCCGGCGACGAGCGCTCGCTGCGCGTGACCGCGGCGCGCAGCGGCGACGGCGCGGGCGACAGCGCGAGCGAGCGCGCGGGGGAGGGGGCGGGCGAGGCGCGCGGCCGCTCCGAGTGCGAGCGCGCGCGCTGCACGGGCGCGCGGGCGGCCGGCGTCACGTCGCTGAGCGAGCGCAGGTGCACGCGCCGCCGCACGCCCGCCGGCGAGTCCGTGTCCGTCACGCTGATACTGATGTTGTGCACGACCATCGGCGCGGGCTCGGGCTCGTTGCCGTCCGAACGCTTGTCGCCCTCCCGCGAGTTGTGCGGACTGAAGGAGCCGTTCACGTTTGTAGATTTGTTGGGGCCGGCCCTGTTAGGCCCGGCCCCCGCTAGCTAGAGTAGTCTCTCGGTGGCTGAACTCGACGTTCCTGAGCTTAATGTCGAAGCGGGATTTTGGTCGTCACCTGAAATTACATTAAAATAATACATTATAAATGAATTTTAGTGACTGTTTTTTAATTGTTACAAAATTACATAATTTATAAGTCTTATTCATATTAGATTAAGTTAAAAGTTGCCAGTTGCTAGACTTTATCGCAAACTTTTTTAGCTAGCGACTTTTACTATGTTCTGGGTGTGGTAGAATTAAATCAACTGAAGATTAAAAAAAATTCTGGATTCAGTCTGGTAATAAAATTGACATATATAACCTACTCATCACCGATACTGCCACAAAAACCCTAACTTCGATGTTGTTACTTGAGCGTTACGTCGAGCTTGGACTATGGACACCCTTACATAGGCATATGATTGCATTGTAGGTCTAGTGCTCTTAAGCGCGATTGCGCAACATGAGGTCACGGATCGATAACCAGCTCACGTCGAAATCAGTTATTGAGTTTTTCAGTTAAGAAATCTCAGTAAAAGCCTGGAGTCACGAAATTGGCTGTTTTTCACCTTCATGCCTATGAAGCATGTAAATCCAGTTCCACTTTCCCACGTCATACAGGATTTCCGTCCGACTGGACTTCGAAAATGAGAGAATATAGTGCACGCGTGTTTGCACACACACACTCGTGTACAATAATCCTGTCTTGGGCAGATAGCTAATTCTCATTTGAGTTTGGCTGTGGTGGCCGAAGTTAGGTCTAGACATTATTATTATTATATAAACAGTGAAGTTTTTTTTACCTTGAGTAGTATTCTGGCCCGCGGCCGGCAGTCTTTGTCAGTTGAGCAATTCTACTGAAACAAATCGTTTCAGTCTCTCAAGATACTGGTTGAAGAGTTCCACATCGTTATGGCCAGCACCCTAAAACATGTAATTAAAAGAAATGTTTTTTACTTTTTTATAACCTTTTTTATTTATAACCTGATGGTATTTGCTACTACAGTAGAACCTACACTCAACTTCAAACAAAGAACACTACAAATGCTTTGTTCTGTTTGTGGTCTAAAAATCAATTGAGCATATAAACTCTGCTATACAAACCTCGTAATAAAGCAAGCTATTGATTTTTATATATCACCTTTGACCGTCAACTTTAATTTTTCTATATAAAACATAGTGTTTTAGCACTGACTTCAGAATGTTATATTATTTTATTCTTTTGAGTTTTTCAAAGTTAGCTTTTGCTTTTATTAAGTTATTTTTGTAACATTCATGTTAGAAAATCTCTTTCAGCTTTTCTTTAAGCATATTCATTTTACAATAATGTATGTACACGTCATCAAATGGTGAAGTAGTCACCCCCTACATTGAGTGATAATTCACCACGCGTACAGAATTAAGTGTGATATTGACTTATCTCATCATCATCTAGCATTGTACGTAAACAAAAGAAAAAAAGTAATGATTTGAAAGTTAGTCCCCAGAACAACAACCTCAGCGTAAATAATTATTATAAAAAGTATGAAAGTTCCAAAATAATTTACAAGCAGACTTAGTTTATTTATTTAAAAAGTTCAAATAAGTTCAATCAATCAATCTTTATTTGCCAACCAAGTGTTAATTAATAAAAATAAAGTTAATTTTGAAAAGCTACATTTCACAGTTTTCTTCAAAAAGAACCCCTTGTCCTTGTTGCTCTGAGCTCGCTTTTGGTATAGATCTCTGTGCATTAACAGTATGTGAGTGAGTTCCTGTCCATCTTTCTCACAACGCTAGGTAATACAGTATGCATTTTAGCCACGCTCACCAACAAGTTTGAAACGACTAGTGCAGCCTTAGGGGAAGTACTCCAAGTCCATCAGAGCACACAGTAATATAAGAAATTAAGTTTTAAGTTACCTCAACCCATAAAGGTTCAACAGCACGAGGACAGCGCTCATAAATGGCCAGTCCATGTGAAAAGTCTATCACCTCATCCTCGGTTCCATGTATGACAAGAACTGGTGAGGTTACTTTGGGAATTTTGTCAATACTGTAATAAAACGAGAAAAATAAATAAGAAATATTCATAATTAAGTTCAAGATAATTTTTAATGATAAGATAGGTACTCACATTATCATAAAAATTAAGTGTTGATAGCAAATGAAAATGAACTCTACAATAAATATATGTTCTAAAACAACTAATAGATAGTCAGTCCCTAAGCCTGGTTTGAGTTACCTATATCAATCTTCTTTCATTTTTTCAGTCGCTCCATCTAGTGGAAGCTACCACTGGACACTGGTTTAGATATTGGCTTTTCAAGCCATATAGCCAACATATTAAAGCTTGAAACGTACATGTATAAACTCTTTACTCATCTTATTTCTAAAGTTAAGAACAATACTTCATACACTATAAGATATTGGTGTGTAAGTTTCATATGATTATAAATTTTAAATATAACAAAGGCAATTTTCCGATTTATCATGTAGATCAATCTGATGAATAGATTTTTTGCTTTTAATATCAATAAATATTAGGCTAAGTTAAAAGTTAAAGTTACAGCCTAATATACGTCCCACTGCTGGGCACAGGCCTCCTCTCATTTTTGAGAAGATTTTTAAGGCAAGGAAGTGACTGCCGCGCTACCCCAATGCATGTTGGCGAATTTCACATGACTGAAAAATTTTTTTTTCTTATTTCTCAGACATGCAGGTTTCCGCACGATGTTTTCCCTTCACAGCCGAGTATGTCATCACTTAAGAAATTGCAATTAACAATTTCATTGGTGACAGCGGGGATCAAACACTGATTGCTCGCGTACTGTGAAACCTACATTGAGCCCTAACCATCTGAGCTACCATAGCTCTATATTAGGCTAAGTTTTACAATAAATATCAGTAATATATTTTCTAGGTTTTTAAAATTTGCAGGGATCTATTATTGTAATTTTTCATGTTTAATTAGATACTCCTTGAAATGAGGTCATTCTTAAACACTCCTCATATTTGTTTGAATACACTCATCATTTATCATATTATCAATTGTTTCACAAGGTTTCTTTTAAACCTATGTCCCACTTTCTTTCAGAATTGGTGTCATCATGCACATGTACATTAAGTCTTAGAGATGAGTAGAAGAGAGTAAGTGTAATGTTCCTAAGTTGACATAACACTGGGAATTTAAATTAATTAACATTAAATGTAATGAAATCCATATGAATTAGTGTAATCCAGGCTGGGTATTATTACTATTGAAATATCAGTGATTTATTTATTACAAAAATGCTTTTGAACATAACTAGGGAAACAAAAACTGATATCTTGAAATTAGCCTTAATTTCTAATCAGGAATTAGATATGACATATTGAGTCATAACTTTATCTTATATAATATAGCAAAATCTTGAAATTATTCATTTCAAAAAAAATAAACTTTGCTTATTGCTCATACAAATAACATGAATAAAATGAGGAACCTACATGAAAAGATACATAATATGATTCACATTTGCATGCTATAAGCAGCACAAATTATAACTGAAATGAAAACTATAAAGAATAAAACATGAAGACAATTTATGAGCATAACACTCACAGCATATTATGATCAACTCAATTAACCTTTGGTGTTAAGGAAACATCTTTAACTACAACTAAGAAGCTATCATTTAATATATCATAATTATACATATATATCACACACCAATGATCTATGACTTAGTAAACATAAATAATTGTTTATATCCATTAATGGCACACCCATTATTATGTTTCTTTCAAGTCATGGTACATCTCCAGTGTAAGTATTACATACTATATACATTATGTAAACAGGGCTAAATTTTATTTTTGATTGGGTACAAATTATACAAATAAAAAACCATAGGATTGTAATTTTTATACCTATATCATGAATTTTAATTATTTCAGATCATTAATATTACTTAGGTGATTAAATAATGTGTTTTTATTCAGGAATAATTAAATATGTTGCCAGATTGTTTGTACATAAACAAAAATAATTGACATTTTACAAAATGTGATGATACAGAGAAAAGGTAATTTTTTTAAATAACACAAAATAAGGTAAAATTTATTTCGAACAATTGGGAAATTGAAAAACCATGAAACTTTCAAAATATTTTATAATGACTTATTAGGGTGAACTTCCAATTATTGAATATTTAAGAGACTATTTAGTGTTTTTAAAGTTACATTTATGAAAGTTACTTAAAGAATAGGTATTTTTATGTAATAGATTATTTAATCTAACATAAATATCCTCAAAAAAGACTATTCCAAAAGATTTACTAATAGGAATACAGTATAGAAAAATAGATAAAGAAGAAAAATCCAAACCCAGTGAAGGATATTATAAAACACTTGCAATCCATCCATCCATTACAACCTATAAAAGTCCACTGCTGAACATAGGCCTCCCCTATAGATTGCCTTATAGGGGGGATTTTGCCATAGTTGCCACACAGGTTGGCAACCACAGTTTTATAATTTTGAGTGGTTATCAGGAAGATGCTTCTTCTCATCTCATATTTCAGTTTCTCTCTGTCGCCTCTTACGACACCCACAGGGTGATATGGGAAAGTGGATATTCTTTCACCACCACTATACAGTTAACACCTGTAGTGACGGTTTCCTTAAAAATAACCAGAAATATTAATCTACAATCATTTGATATATCAATAATTTAAACTCAAGGGCTACCTCAATTTATGCCTCCTTATTCTTCTGTAAAAGTATGTGGCTACCTCAATTTATGTTTAGTCATTCTCCTGTAAAACTCAGTTCTTACTTGTTTTTGAAATGGGACAGCCAAGCAATGTATTATTCAACAGAATGTATCTGTTAATGCACATTAATTAGCTCTCTCTCTCACTAATGGCTTGTCTAAGTGGTCTTGTGTTAGCAGTAACTTATGAGAATCCATAAATCCATCTCATCTCATAATGTCAAGATTGAATCAAGTATAAAACAAGATCTCATAGTTTCCTACAGAAAGTTTAATAGCAATCTCATATGTAAAGTAATCTAAAATACCCCAACTAGCACCTATTTAACATTATAATTATGTAAAATATTTATAGGTCAATGAAGAAACTTATGTATAGTATTTGATCATTTTCATGACTGACAGCATCATCAGTTTGACAGAGAGGGAAATATCTAGTAAGTTGACATTTTTGTTCTTTTGTAATAGAACAGAATGGATATGATTACACTTTATAAGAAGTTATTGTAGCTGTGTTGCCTTTGGATTAACTTTGTTAGAGCATTATAATAATAAATAAATTTTATTTCGTTTTTAAAAAGTAAATGCCTTAAAAACTAGTAGATTGGAACCTCCATTTAAGCAAATAATGCCTGTGTTTGGAGGGTCCGCCCTTCCATTACTATATCCATGTTACAAGGCAGTATGGATAAACATATTCTATATCCATATTAATGTTATATATTACTTAAATTCTATATTAATTCTATTCTTAGTTTATTTACTTATGTATATGCGTGTGCGTGTGTGTGTATGTGTGTATGTGTGTGTGTATGTGTGTGTATGTGTGTATGTGTATGTGTGTGTGTGTATGTGTGTGTGTGTGTGTTTGTGTCTATGCTTGCGTGAGTTAAAAAGAGTATGTGTGATTACAGTGTCTGAATCTGAACAAATCATGCTACACAATCTAGTAGCTTCTCAATTTCGTCATATGTCTTATGATGAATCCATTCTAACAAAAGTTTTTTACAGTTGTGATATGTTTTGTCGTATATATAAATATCTTTGTTTATTTTATTATAAAGAAAGGCAGAACGCAATATAAATTGTCTGCTTGCAAATGAGTTTTAGTTCTGTATGTCTGGGCAACCATGTTTCTACGTCGTTTATTTAAATGGCATGGATCATAAGACAATTATTTGTGAGTTTTGAGGGTTGTCCAGAATATATACAACTTCCTGACAGAGAGTAAACCGCTGATACGAAATAGAAAATTGGTAGAAAAGCGTCTCTTCTTAAAGTACATAACTTTAATAAGAGAACGCTGCGCCCTCTCTAACTCCATAAATCGAGTTTTTGCTGCAATTATTGCAAGAATCATTTCTTACAATGTAAACCAAATTCTGTGTGTGGCTTATTGATATAATATGTTTTATGTGTTTATCCCACAAAACAAAGTTATTCATATTTGAGAGATAGATGGTTTTTGCTTGTGGCATTATCCCTATTTTATCATTTTATATATAAATACATACCAATTTAAACAAATTTTTATGTAGATAACAGTTTTGGGATTGCTTGTTATTTTTCAGACATCTTTCATATTAGGATATAAACAGAAATAAAAGCCCCTGGAATGTTATTGTGGCAAGTTTGTGGGTTATATCATTTTTGCACAATACTGTTCAATTTTAGTTACATTCTGATATATCTAGCTCATACATAATGTTAACCAATATAATGTATCAGCTTTTATTCAACAGGTTTTAAAACTGTTAGATTTATCATTTTCACCAATATCAGTTATGTAATGTAAAACAGTTATTAAATAATGATTAACACAATATGTTGAAATAAATTAAAATTAATTAATGAAATAATTCCTTTGTTAATGTATATCACATTACATATTATGTTTTTATTAACCTTCCTTGTTTGTCAATGTAATAAAAATATTTTAACTTGTTTTTTTTACACATTTCCTGTTCCACGTACCATATACGGTTCATTACTATTGTCTTACTATTGTCTGAAAAATGGATGTGAAAGTGTTGAGCAATGGAAAACAGTTAATTTATTTCTGATACAAAGTCTATTTTTAGAAGCCTTTCGTTGATTCAATGCCCACTGCTAATATATATTAGAAGATAAAACTGCAATAATCAAACTATTGTATACAATAATAAGAGTTCATATTAAACACTCACCTAGGAAAAGCATCAAAAAACCATGTTCTCTTGGTATTTGGGAAAGCCACTCGCATACCAGACATAAGTGGAGAGTGCAGCACAACCGCACCCACTTCATAACGGGCTGCTAAGTCCACTGTTGGCACTGTACCAATACTTTGACCATACAGAATAATGTTCTCTGGGCTGATGCCATAACGAGTCCGAAGTGCTTGCCACGCAGCATCAATATCCGCATACAGATTCTTCTCTGAAGGCTTTCCCCCACTCACACCATACCCAGAATAGTCATAACTGAATATGTTACAGTTTATTCTAGTACCTAGGCCTAAATAAAAGCTACTCATTTGTCCAAGATCTACTGCATTTCCATGAGAAAACAATATCGTAAACCGAGCATTGGGGCTGCACCGAACAAAGAGACAAGCAATACGATTGCCTCTCGTAGTTCTAGAGTAGAAACCTTCAATGTTTTCTTTTTCCCGTTCTGAATATTGCCATTCTGCACGTTCAGTGAGCGTCAACGAAAATTTTGATCCGGTTTCATCAGGTGTAAATGCATACGTGGGTTCAGGAGGCAGGAATGCAAGCTTAGCCGCGATTTTCCCCGGGCATGGCGGACAACAAAACAGGCAACAGAGTTCACTGAAACTTAACCCGTTCATATTGGAATTTTAATAATGATGATAAAAGTAAAGGTATTTAAGCACCATCCATTAGAAATCACAACTCACAAATTACTGGTCATGGCGAAAATAAAAGAAATTTCACTAAATTTGACATTTAAACAACATTTCAGACATTTTTTTAATTTGTAATAGTTTTAATCTAAAACCTTGTTAAGAGTCCTTTGAGCCTTATTGCACAAAAAAATTGAAAATTAAAATTAGATACTGTAAAAAAATATTAAATGGAAAAATTAACAAAACTTACATTTAAATGAATAATTAATTCTTTTTATTAAATTGAAGAAATTGTTATTTATTTTATTAGAAAAATAAATGCAATTATTTTTATCACTTGCAGCATTCTTAAGACATCTTTTAAATAAAAGGAAAATTGTAATTAGGTACCCTTGTAGTACATGTAGTACTAGTAGTACCTGCTTATTTTTGTAAGTATATTTGAAAACGGTAAATAACAATTAACGTGAGTTCGAGATACGTAGATAGAGGACTGTGATAAGAGTATACTAAAGAGTATACCTCTAATCGTTTTGATCTCGGGTTATAGGGTAAGATAGGTGAACTGCGGTAGGCAGGCAACATCTCAAAACGTAACTGTAGGAACAAGCAGTATCCGAGGGTGGTGTGGCGTTGGTGATAAATCCTGATACCGTCAACGCCTTTAACTCTCTATCCTGGGATACAATAAGGAGGGCATTAGCACACCACCAGGTGCCTGCCTACCTGCAAGGCGTAATCGGGGACTACGTGAGCGACAGGTACATTCTGTACATGGAGCAAGATGGTAGGAAGATCCAGAGGGATATCCAACGTGGGGTTCCGTAGGGCTCAGCGCTGGGTCCGCTACTGTGGAACCTCGCGTTCGATGCGGTTCTGCGTGTCGACCTTCCTGATAGCGTAAATATCGCCTGGTGGTCGCCAGTGGGGTCACCTTAGAGGAGACCAAGGAGCTCGCCGAACTTCGGATGGAAGTCGTCGTTGTCAAAATCCACGAGTTAGGTCTAGAAATACCTAGCGCCTCATAAGACCGAGGCCTTATAGTTTCACAAATTACCTCGTAGCAGGGAACCACCCGACTCGTGCGTCGACGTGGGTGGGTCTGAAATCAGAGTGGGGCGGTACATGAAGTACCTAGGGCTATATCTGGACAGTCGCTGGGGCTTCTAAGAGCACTTTGAGTACCTAGTCCCCCGGATTGAGAGGGTGGCGGGTGCTATGCACAGACTGCTACCCAATCTAGGGGGTCCGAGGGAGGAAATACGCCGCCTCTATGTGGAGTAGTGTGGTCCGTAGCCTAATACGGAGCATTGTGTGGGCGAAAAAGCTAGCCCTCCGGCGCTGTATATCTAAAATCTAGAGTGTCCAGCGGCGGATGGCTATACGGATTGTGCGAGGATAGTGCATGATATCTTTTGAGGCGGCAACAGTGTTGGCTCGTTTTCCACCCCTAGATATACTGGCGGATATGGATGCGAGGGTGTACAACCGAATCTGCATCTTCCATCAGAGAGGTGGCAGTGAGCCAGCTGAGGCGCTCGAGTCTATAAAACGGCAGGAGCGAATGAACGCTTTGGCGATATGTCGCACTCGCGCAACGAGGAGCGCTATGCCCGCAAACGCGAATTATTGGCGCAATCCTGCCGGTCTTCGAAGCCTGGATGCAGCGAGTAAGAAAACTTACCTACAGACTTACATAGATAATTACCGAGCACGGGTGCTTCGGACGCGAAGTGATGGCGAACTGCTTCCACTGAAGTGGAGAGGAACAGGACCCCGCATCCCATACGCTAGCGGAGAAGGAAGCTGCTGAGCGGGATCGGAGGAGGACAGATCCCACTCGGAAACGACGCCATCAAGACGTTCGTCACTGCCCTTCCCTTGAAGATGGTATTCCCCTATTTGAAACGGGGCCTCTGGGGTTACAGGCGCTTAGAGCGGGTGCCTCGAATGCCTATTTAACGTAACCCCTGAGGGGGACGATGGCTCGGAAGTGGTCCCAAGACATCGTGTAAGCACTGCGAGGCTTTTGGGGGCAGTAAGAACTGCCCCCGGGACGTGCTCTATTCCGAACGGAGAAACCGGGACCCTTCGTACACACTGATGGAGACCACCGTGAGGTTTTAACCAGTACGAGTCCGGCATAACCCTCCGGATGCCCCCGCAGCCAAAGGTAGCCTATGTATTTATTATGAGGACGAAAAAAAAAGATCGCTCTCTGACTGAGTAGGCTTGGGTAAAAAATATCGATATGTATTTTAGAGTATCGAATTCGTATTGATTTCGATATACTTTAAAATGTTATATTTATTTTATAATTTAAACAGAAGCAATCATGTGCTGTTGTCGTTTTTATTTCATTGTCAAAAGTCCAGTATTAAAATTTTACCCCCATACCCTACTACATTTTTTTTATGGGATAGGGTGACAAAGGAGCACACAGTCCACCTGATGGTAAGTGGTTGCTGTGGGCCATAGACATCTACATTTATCCTCGTTTGCGAATCACAATGCAGATGCGTTGTCACCCGTGAGGACTAAGATAGAATGCCTCTCTACCAGCAAAAAGGATCTCCGGTTCTCTGCACTCACCATACGAAACACACCAGTGTTAAGCTGTTATTTTACACTGGTATTCTGTGAGCCGACTCATTCGTGATACAACTATACTGCTAATATAGCTGCAGCATGACTCTACCACGTATAGATATATATTGACACTGTAAAAATATCGTTATAGTTTTTTCACTTATCCATACGTTAATTTTACGTTAGTCATAGAGTGAGTAAGGGCGTAAAATCAGTGCAGTGTAATAACCGACGTCTCTAATTAGAGCTACACGCTTACCCTTAATTCAGGGCCCTAATTCAGTGTAGTGTAATATTATATTAGGACTAGGAGTGGGCTGTAACAGGTTAAATCGCATATCTAATCCGCCTGTTCCATATTCACATAAATAACAGTTCCTAGAAGCTGTTACAAAATAGCAGTCTGTTAATGGTGGTATAAAAAAAACGTAGGTTTTTTTTTATAGAATAGGGTGCATACGAGCATGCGGCTCACCTGATGGTAAGTAACTACCGCCACCCATGAACAACCGCAACACCAGGGGAATTGCAGATCCGTTGCCAGCCTTTTAGAAAGGTGTAAGCTCTTTTCTTGAAGGTTCCTAAGTCATATCGGTCCGGAAAATTCGCTGGTGGTAATTGATTCCACAAAGAAGTTGTGCGAGGGAGAAAACTTCTTCTAAATCGCACAGAGGTGGACCGCCAATCATCCAGATGGTATGGATGGTAACGCGAGTTATGTCGCGATGTGCGATGGTGAAACTGAGCGGCTGGAATTAGTCCGAACAATTCCTCAGAGCACTCCCCGTGATAGATGCGATAAAATACGCAAAGAGATGCAACTTCTCTACGCAGTGCCAGTGTATCGAGCAGATCAGAAAGAACTCGGTCGTCGACGATTTGAATTGCTCTGCGCTGGATGCGGTCAAGTGGAAGGAGCTGGCACTGGGGTGCCCCGGCCCAGAGATGAGAACAGTATTCTATGTGGGGCCGAACTTGCGCTTTGTAAAGTTACAAGCGATGTGCCGGCATGAAATACTGTCTCGCTCTGTTGAGCACGCCAAGCTTTTTAGAGGCCAATTTGGCCTTCCCTTCCAAGTGACCACGAAACTGCACGCTATTCGATATGTCGACGCCAAGGATTCCGATACTGGCTGAGGCAGCAAGGGGAGTGCCTTGAAACTGAGGAGATACGACAAAGGGTTTCTTTTTAGCGGTAAACGCGCAAACTTGTGTCTTCTGGGGATTGAACTGGACTAGATTTAGTCGGCCCCAATCCGAGACTTTGTTAAGCAAAGACTCGACTTCAGACACAAGTTTGTACCGGTACTAGGCGACGTTTTCCCGAGAAATATTGGCACGGCCGGTATATAAGGCATCCCCAGTGTTGTCGTCTGCATAGCAATGAATGCTACCAGTTAGCAACATATCATTGATATGCAGGAGAAACAGCGTTGGTGATAGCACGCAGCTTTGTGGAACACCAGCGTTAATAGGCTTTAAATCAGAGCATGCACCGTCTACTAAGACCTTGATGCTCCGATCAGCAAGGAAACTGGTGATCCATTTGCTCAATTTCTCGGGAAGCCCATAGGAAGGAAGCTTCGAAAGAAGCGCCTTGTGCCAGACCCGATCGAAGGCCTTCGCTATTTCCAAACTAACGGCCAATGCCTCCCCCTTGGACTCTACTGCCTCCGCCCGTCTATGAGTTAAGTAAACTAGAAGATCACCTGCTGATCGACCCCGACGAAAACCGTACTGGCGGTTACTGAACTTCTGGTGATCCTCAAGGTACCTCATGAGCTGGCAGTTTATAATGGATTCCATTATTTTGGAGAACAAGGAGGTGATGGCGATAGGCCTGTAGTTGGATGGGTCTGAGCGGTCGCCTTTTTCGGGATCGGGTGGACAAAAGCTGTCTTTCATGAATTCGGGACTACGCCTTGGGAGTAGGAGTACCGGAAAAGACGCGTTAAAACCGGTGCCAACTCCGGAGCACACGTCTTCAGCACAATGGGAGGGACTCCTTCGGGCCCACTCGACTTGCTGACGTCCAGGGAGAAGAGTGCTTTGCGAACCGAGCGCTGTGTAAATCGCACATCCCGCATGGAGCACTCACATCGCGGGATGGTCGGCGGTGTGTTTCCCCCGTCATCTAGAGTCGAATTAGACGCAAAAAGAGAGCACAACATTTCGGCTTTCTCTTTTGCGGCATGGGCCAGTGAGTCGTCCTCTCTGTGCAGAGATGGAAGAGATGGCTGATAGAAGTTCCTTTGGACAGCCTTGGCGAGAGACCAGAATGCACGGGTTCCTGAAGGAAGGCGAACTAGTTTCTCGCCAAATCTGCCGATGTAATCAGACCTTGCCTTGACAATGACGCTTTTGAAGGACCTGGAGGCGGAATTATAATTCTT